TTTTTCTCTGCACCCTTTCGTCTACATAGAGCTCTATGATCACTATGACCTCGCACTCCGTCTTTCCATGCACCATAAGTGACTCACCCACCCCGCAATCCAACCGCCTTGAAAAAGCCCATCAATTGGCTTGTCACATAGAGCTCTTCACCTTTCTCTGCTTTGACGGCAATTTCTCCCTCTTTCTTTCTTTCCCTTCCTTCTTCTCTCTTCCCTCTTCCTTACTTTCCCCCTTCAAATGCTCGGACGACGATACAATGAGAAAATACCTCTGGACCCTCGCAAAGGACAATAGCCAGATGACAGACGCCGCTGCCACATTCAGTAGCAAACAGACACTCACAGTGATGAACCCGTGACTGGCGATATTCTCCAATTGTTGAAGAGTGTTGATCTGCGACAACTTGTCTTCAACACCCCATTTGTTCTCAGGATCAATTATCGCCTCAAAACTGTAATAAATGAGCAAGTTACTAATCATAAAACGTACTCCATTACTGTCGAATACTAGTCTAAACCTACCACAGTCAAGTAAGTTAAGTAGATTAAAATTTACAGAACCAGGAAGAGACAGTAGGCAACTAACCCAAATCCTGGTACATCCGCAACGAACTCTAAAGGCGATTCAGTGTCCGATAAGCGTTCTTCTAATTTCTGTAAGGAAGCATAACCATGCCGACGCAACCAATGGTCCATTGGTGATTGGGGATCAAATGACTTTGGGCACTTGTGTAGATTGTAGAGCGCATTGATTGCCTGCGAAATAACAGACTTCACAGAACTTCTACCATCAAGAAGAATTCACCTCTCAGTTGAATTCAGTCCAATTCAAATCAAGATACTGGAAAGCTGAATTCAGAAGTCTACGTTTAGCGAAACGCCGTATTTGTCTTCACCGCGACAAGAAGTTATACAGTATAGTATGCCAGGTATTCATACCAAAAAGGCATCGGGGTTAGCCAACAAGGCACGTCGTACGTTGGAATTTCCAAGGGGGGGGGGGGGTATTTGCCTCTGAGGAAAAAGTTTCCGTCTTTTCCGCTTTTACTTTTCTCAGTTTTCCCGCTACTGGCGCTGTGTAGTTCCTCCCCCTCTTGCGGGCCACGGTAGCTTTTTGGAGTAAACTGAAGAGTTTTTCCCGAAGCAATAAAGTACTGGTAAGTAGAGAGAACTTGGTCAGACAGTAGATAAGACTGCGGATGGACAGGAACGGGGGGGGGGCGGGAGGGGAAGGGGCGTATCAGAGGAGGAAACTCTGAGGGGTGGTATTTTACAGTTTTTCCCAGTAGAAGGAATTGCCAGTTTGCATAGTATCACCCATGGGGAAACTCATGGCGTCATCACAACAAATATGCCGCAAGGGTTACACGAAGAGTCGTTAAAAAAAGAACCCACTTTACAATCAGAATGCCCGCAGACAATCACATGATTGATGTGACCACGCTTAACAGCAAGTTCGAGAGCTGCTGGCTCTGTCGTCACTGACACCTCATAGCCGGTAGGTCCTAAAGATAACACCATATTTAAGCACGATATCGCGAAAAAAATGACTCCTTATTCGAATCTTACCATAGTGTGCCGCATGTGGAATCATGTTACCCGAATTCCGCACAACGAACATGTCTCCAACATTGCTTTTTGGGGGGCGTGAACCTGGCATGAAAATCCATGTTTCGAGACGAAAGATACGCAGTTTTTACGGTGTTCAATTGCTGACCTGGAAATACTAGAGTTTATGACTTCTAATCAAAGTCAATATCTAACCTTCTACACAGTCCTTGAAAGCCGTTTAGCTAGCCTGATTTTTGGCATGCATGCGACAGGTGGGAAATATACTGTCCCTCTGCCAAGTAGTCGTTAGAAATAAACACTGGGCGTGGGGTGGGTCTGTGGGCGGGGCATCGCCTTCGCCCCAAGTACCTAGTGTCGTTGTCACGTATTTTTCAGCCGCAAAAGTGATACATTCTCGCTTGCAGACAGCATAACCCTCCTCAAGGTCGGTGTCCGCCTACAATGGGAAACGCGGCTCTTCAAGGGTGCACCATCATAATACCAATGGCAACAAATAATTCACGACTTTACGATCACTTCACAATATCAATGTTACCGTTGTCCCTGATAACCAGCTCTGCTTTATCCAGCCAGTATCCAGACCTAGACCACTACTTCAAAAAAATCTCACAAATACTAAACCGAAATCAGTTGAAAGAAAAAAGGGAAATCGCATTAATTACAACAAAAGAAAAACAAATCACACAAAGCAGCACCTGGCCGGAAGCATGCGAGAATCCATGCAAGTGAAGAATGCAGCTGTTGGATTCGGATTGTCTCGAATCATTTCGAACTGTTTGACCTAACACGAGCAAAATGAAAATGAATCAAGCATGAGTCTCACCAACAAATCTCTATACAGAAAAAGTGCTAAGAGAGAGAGAGAGATGGATAAGAGAGGATGGGAGAGCGAGCGAGGAGGAGGAGGAGGAGGGGAGGGGAAGGGAAGAGGTAGGCAAGGATAGAGACGAGAGAGAGAAGAGATCAATGAAGTGAAGGCCCATTCTCCCGTAAAGTCATCCCTAATCTCAGTCGTTGTGACAAATAAAGCTCAGCGTACTGAAATTAGAGCGCATTCAGTTCGCGGCCCAACGCTTTGTAGCGAGCCATCGGATCGCTCTCGCTTGGATCGCACGACCACGACTGAAGCGCAAAACCTGAATGCTCTCTTACCGGACAGACGGCGATGTGGCCTCTCAAAACTAATGAAGAATCGGCGAAATGAGAATGCTGTTTAAAAAAGGAGAGTGAGACCTGGGAAAAGTGACGATTCATCGACCAATATTTAGCCCTTTTTCAAGAATCCTACAATGCTCCGTTTGGAGCTGCGAAGGAACGCGGCTTGAAAGTGGTGCTTAGCTCGTGCCACCCACTAGAGTTGGAGAATGAAAAAGGAGGTTGAACGAAAAGATCTGAGAAGGCGCTCATACTTTGCGATCGCGCGATCGGATCGCTCGGCTAGATCGCGCGATTCAATCGAAGGCTCGTAGGGGGTGCTCCGCGGCCAATCAGTGAACCGCTGTTGTGACACAACTCAACTGAACCGCGTTCATGCGCTGCTCCGTTTTTCTCATATCTTTCTGTGCACGCGTGCCTTGCGTTTTTTGAAACATTGTGGAAAGTGGTTACTTCTTTAAGTGTTTGTTTCTCTAATTCTCTTCCATCGTAATCTTTTAATTTTTTTTACGGCCGTTCACCGATTGACGATTGAGCCCCGTACCTCGCGATTACTCGACTGGATCGCGCGATCCAGTCTACACATCCGATCGCGCGGTCCAATCGCGTCATCGAGAGATGAACGCGCTCTGGGACTGCGTTCACACTTCGCGTCAGCGCACGGCAGCGTTTTGAGTCGCACGCCAGCGTACAAAGGCCGGCATACGCTCGAGAAACATTACTTCACGTTCAAAATGCTGACGCAAAATATGAACACGGCCCAAGGCACAGATGAAAATCCAAATGGAATTAAATGCCATTTGAGCTTGGAATCGATTCTAAAGCAATCTACAGAAACCGTGAAAAAAAGGACTCACAAGATCTTTCCTGACAGTATCTCGAAAGCGGACGACTCCCGCAAGAACTTTTTGCAAGCCTGGCATTTCCAACAACAACTAAACATCGTATTGGAAAGAAATTATACGAACTGACTCACGACCGGCCATGCCGCGACACCGAACCACAAAACCGCAGATTGAAAATGAGAGCTAATCAAATATTGTCGAATAGAACAAGCACGCTAACAAAACTCATCGAAATAACAGAACTGGTGAAATGTCTCAGTGCAGAACGGGGACATGTTCAAAATATAAAATATAAGTACAAAAAACTTACAAAACTTAGTGCTAATCAATCATATGTTTCAGAGTAACTTGAGAAAGCGTTTCCTCAAACAAAATCCAATAAATAATCGACAGAGGTGAGAGAGACTAACAAGAAGCACAATGCAGAATCCTTCAGAATCAATTTTCTTATTATTTGCGACCACCACAATATCTAATCATATATGCTCTCTAAAAATATTTCGTGGGCGGATAATGCTCAACAATGAAATACTGGCGGTAGAAAAAACTGTTGCTCTGCAGCTGCTCGAAAAGGGACCGCTTCACCCACCAACTTGTCGCCAACCACTACAACACCCACAAAAAATAGGGTAAATGCTAAAATGCTTACTGGTCCAACGAAAGAACATCGTCCATTTCCTCCAGTCAGCATGACGAGCCCTAGTAGTGCTCAGACGACGACTTGGCTTGGCCCTGCGCAAACTGGCGCCCCCTAAGGCACATAGCATAAGAAACTAGTGGTACGTATACCAGTCAACGCTTGTCCCATTTCCGTTCTGATTGTTCCAAGAAGAAACTACCTGTCCGCGGCTAAACCGGGTATCTTTGCGAGTGGAGAAGACCCCCCCCCCCTGAAGGAGGAACATACAGCCAACACGATGCAGCAAATAAATACGTTCAGGAAACTTTTCAAAAATATTCATATAATAAAGAGGCGCTGTGCTGAGAATGGGAAAAGGGGAAGGGGGTAGGCGGCGGCGCAATGAAACACGCTTCACTGGAGACAGAGGCGAGACCAGTCGGATTTTGCCGCTAAAGGCTCGTTCCATGACTTTTGACTTCGCCGCTAAAGGCTGCGTCCATACTTTGTGACTTCGCGTCCTTAGAGAATCAGCATTTCTAGCGAATCGGTAATTTCAGCGAAAACAGAAGCATAAATATCGCCGGTGCCCAAAACGTCGATTCGCCAAACGCTGTCGTCGAGTCCAATGTGACCAGATATCATCAATCGCCGTTGATGCGCCCTTCGACTCGCACTGTCGGGGCGGGGACTGCCGCCCTAATCCGTATCAAACGAAAAACGGCCGGACCCCCGGAGTTTTACGGGCGCAAGTCGTCCACTTCGTTGTGGGACCACGCGTCCCTTTAACTTCATTTGAATTAGGATACTTCAACAAGAACGGTTTTTTGTGAGATTTACCGGCTCTTGCTAATCATAAGTTTAATAGGCGCAGTTATCGACGGCGGGGGGATTTCGCTCTAACAGACGTGTCGACCCGTTTTACTCGCGTTTTTTTCTCGAGTTGACACGTTTTGGGATGGTGGCTAGACGATCCTGCTCCAGCTTCACAAGAGTTCACAAGTTTCACCAAAGTGAGATTTGCAAACCGGAACAAGGGAAGCAGTAATAGTACGAAATGCCCGTCAATAAACAGCGCCTAGTTAACATTTTCTGGTATCATTTCTGCTCGAAAAGGCTCATGAAAGGGCAAACTGTACTTACCGTCTTCGAGTGCTTTGGTAAAGTGCATACTGCTTTTGGCTTTGTGGATTGGTTCCGGAGCTTCCGCATGAGCAAGAGTGGCTCCCATGTTTGTACTCGGGGCTGCTCTCGTTCACCTGCAGAAGGGGTGGGAGGATACAAGTAAGAGCGTTATTATGTTGTGGACTGCGTTACAATGGGCCTGGTTATAAGCATGAATATCTGCCAATGATCCTGAAGGAGTAGTTCACGTTTTCACGCAGCTGTACCCTTCTCCATTACAGCTGCATTTAAAACATTTTGATTATATTTGCTGGAATTCGTTTACCATTCCGGCCTGTGAAGAATTGCAGTGAATCTAGATCTAACAGAGACTAGTTGTTGTTCTCCTAAACTCAACAGTTCTTTCCCTCGAGAGCTCTCTAAAACTGAGCGAGTCAAGTGTCTCCAAACCACATGTCAAACGGAAATTTTCGCGCAGCCAGACATCCTAACACAAACAGCCCTTCTAACAGCGGTTTTGTGCACAGAATAACGAAGATAGGATGTACATATCTTCCTGCGTCGAAATCCAACGCTGAGTGGCAGAGAACTTTTGAAAATGCACCCCACGGGATATAACCCCTAAAACAAAAGATGCACTTGAAGTGTTCAAGTTTCCGGTTGCACCTCAGGTTTCATGTTTCCTAATCTAAGCAGAAGCAGATCTCGAAAATATTAACTGTGATTACGCACAAAAGCGATAATCTTGCAAAAACGCTCTTATTGAAGTATCCTAATTCAAAATGGTTAAAGGGACGCGTGGTCTCACAACGAAGTGGACGACTTGCGGACGTAAACTCGTCGGCGGCCGTCTTTCAGGGTGTAGAGGGGCAGTGGGGCGAGGCATAAGCTGTAGTAACGAAAACATTCGTATTCATATAATTACGTTATGCTGCCTCCTTCCTTTTACGTTCACCAGGATGAAGTGATTTGTGGCTACTCCCTCTCTCTCTTTATAGCAATCCGCTTGAGCCAGCCGAGTATTCGACGTAAAAAAGTTAAATTAACGCACTAACTCATAGCACCCACAAAACAGCTCGATGGTGACACATCTTGCGCAGGGCCCCATACTCTTACCCCTAATCAACGGTTCTGCTTAGTGCTAGCGTGCCTTCTTGCGAGACCTATACATCAATGATCTGGTCGTCTGCGATCTGACCGCTAACTTTTTGGGGGAAGGATACAGAGACGCGACCATGTTACTCCTCCTCCCCAAGGAGGGACGCCCATGAAGATCCCTCAGCGAGAAGTCGGTTTAAGTCTCTGGAGGGAAATAGGAAATCGAATTCATCTTAGAAAAGTGTTTTGTGAACTCATGACGTTCCCGCTTTCGCTCTCTGTGCGCTATTTCGGTAAATTGGGAAAACTTCCGTAAACGTAGAGCGTTGCAAGTAAGTGAAATGTCAAGGGTCAACAGTTTTTTGGGTGACGCTTCACGTGTCCCACATAAGTGCGCTAAAGTTCTCAGTAGAGCGTTGGCGACAAATCGGTATTTGGGATAATGGAGTCGTACTAAAGGAGCAATTTTCAAGAGGGGGAGGGTCGTACTTTCGGGAATCCCCCACCGCGGACATGTCATCCCCTTTCCCCCACCTTTCCCGAACCTGTTAGCGCCGCGGTTCTAGACGTCTGCGGTTCCTAGCGCTCAGTCTGAGCAGTGGAAGAGACCTCGTGCCCGCACCGTCGCGTTGTTCTCCTAACCTACAGTGCCAAAAATGATTCAGAACCCCGGAGAAAAATGCAGTCCGAACAATGACAGACATATTTTGGCCACAGTACCAACACGGTGGGAAAAGGGGATAATCAATGAGTGAAAGGAACATAGAGCAGTAGTACTTTGCGGATAGCTAACAGATGCTGAGGACAATTATTAAAACAAAACCACGATCAGCATAGACGGGAAGACAACAGCTGACCACCAACAGAGTTCGACAATAGCAGGTTCACCCAGTGCACACAATCGATTTTCTAAGCAAACGATTCATGCAAAGTGCGTATGAATGCGATGGTGTACTTTTACACAAGCCATCGAGAAACTCTGTCAGGTTTAGAATAAAAGAAAAAATCTAGTTCAGCTAGCTTCTGAAAAACATATTGCTCCACTGGCCATTCATGATATATATATTATATTATATGATAATAATATATATATATAATATATATATATATATATATATATATATATATATATATATATATATATATATATATATATATATATATATATATATATATATATATATATATATATATATATATATATATATATATACCTACTACATATAATCCCGCTAATGTGTGTCTGTTGTGTGTGTCGTGTGTGTGGTGCTTTGTGTGTGTGTGTGTGTGTCACGAAATTCATAGCGAGCGTCGCAGAAAAGATAGGATGACAGTTCCAAGAAGTGATATACATGGCAGGACGGGAACACTTTTGGTGGGTGTCAGGAGGTGATAACTCTTGATAAGATACGATAAGGGGCCGTAGAAGGGAGATGACTGAAATTCGTAGCGCAAGTTGCAGCAGGTGTGGGACCGTGATTTCAAGGAGTGATATACATGGCAGGACGGGAACACTTTTGATGGGTGACAGGAGGTGATGACACTTGATAAGATTCGATAAGGGGCCTTAGAAGGGGAGGGTGACCGAAATCGTAGCGCAAGTTGCAGCAGGCTGCGGGACCGTGATTCAAGGAGTGATATACATGGCAGGACGGGAACACTTTGGTGCGTGACAGGAGGTGATAACACTTGATAAGATTCGATAAGGGGCCTTAGAAGGGGGGGGGGTGACCAACATCTAGCGCAAGTTGCAGCAGCTGCGGGACCGTGATTTCAAGAAGTGATATACATGGCAGGACGGGAACACTTGTGGGTGACAGGAGGTGATAACACTTGATAATTCGATAAGGGGCCTTAGAAGGGGGGGGGGTGACCAACATCTAGCGCAAGTTGCAGCAGCTGCGGGACCGTGATTTCAAGAAGTGATATACATGGCAGGACGGGAACACTTTGTGGGTGACAGGAGGTGATAACACTTGATAAGATTCGATAAGGGGCCTTAGAAGGGGAGGGTGACCGAATCGTGGCAAGTTGCAGCAACGGCGGGACCATGATTTCAAGTACTGATATGCCGTAGGGTGGGGCTGGCAGAAGCTGATAACAGTTGATAAGATCCGATAAGGGGCCTCGGAAGAGGAGGGTCATCAAATTCGTGGCGCAGGTTACAGCAACAGTGGGAACTCAGATCCGTGAGGTGATATAGGGTGTGGGACGGGAACATTATTGGCGGGCGACA